AATTATTTTGAAAATTACATTCAGGGTGAGGTCTCCGAACCATCTCTTCATCTCCATCGACACATTATGGGAACCATCTTTGTTATTTTCCCATATGTGGTGTATTTCCTTTATCCATGCCTTCATCTCCGATTCTCGAACATGTTTGAACATCTCAAGCCTGTGATTTGATAAAAGCTCGACTGTGGCAATTTTACGTGCGTGGCGCCAATAGGATCCGTAAGGGCTGGAGCCAAACATGGCGTAATTGTAGCCCAAAACCTCCATGGATACTGACTTCGGGCGTGTAGCGAACGCCTTATCATTTGTAGCTAGGCATTCTTTTGCTACTTCGGAATCACTTACTATCAAAGCACGATGAACACCGAGTTTAATAGTGAAAACAGGACCATACTTGTCTGCCATTTCACCCAAGATTCTGTGAGGTGGTGTTGGCCCCCCCAACAATGGTAGGTGGCCGATAATCGGCCATGCACCACCAGCTTGTGGTGGCATTCTCTTCTTTTGAGCATTTCCTCGCCTTGAAAGGGCTAAGAAACTACAAATAAAGAGTAAAAAGGCCAAGATTCCGGTGGTCAGAGTCGTTGAAAATGAAAGAAGGAAATCCATGCTGTTCTGTGTTGTTTGGAAGGTTGATATATGTTTTGAGATGAAATTTACTCTGCTATTTATAACAACTGAGTGAGCAATTTAGTCAAGGAATGCAAATCCGTAACGCAATGCATTGCACTTCTTTTTTAAAACGTGAAAAATTAAATCCCTTTGCCAAGAAAGCTTAAATCCCAAGTAGAGGTGCGAACCTTCAAATTCCGTAATGCAATTAAGAGTTGACTGGAGAAAAGTCCAAAAAGCCTCATATATGATGAATATTGTGTTGAGATTTAAGTTTAGAATTTTAGATATATTTGTCTTTGACTTTTAGTTTCAGCCATCGGGATTCATACAGTAAACACTTTTTTTTTTTTAATTCATTCATAAGAATTTTATTACTTATAGTGATTATTAGAGAATAATATAAACCAAAATCAGATTGTAGAGGTGTTTTTTTTTTTTTTTTCAGCCTGAACTTTA